ACAAAGACAGCAAAGCACTACCAAGATTACCAAAAGGATGAAGTTCAAACTAACGGTAACGCCCGTGAACTCGCATATCCGTTTCAGGCCGTGCCGTCCACAGGCACTCCTGCTCTGTGACTGACTTGTTCCCGTTCTGTGAACTAGCTTCATCACTATCACATTATCAAAGGTGGGCCGTCGGGCCGTGTTGAAACGTTTCGCCAACATGGCCTTTGTTTGTTTATCATTTGCGGGCCGTGGTACTCGGATGCCACGGGAACATGGACGAAATCATCTTCCGGGCCAAAGATGTGCTGCGAGTTGCTACTAAAGGAATGGCAGCCTCCCCACACAACGTCCTGGACCCTGTTCCCATGCAGTTCGCAATGGAAAGATCGAAGATTCATGGATATTCGTGGTCCACGTGCACGCAGGTCAACGGACAGACTTCTGTGGCACCAGCACAGAATGGAGTTCCGGCCGCGGCCCAATCGCTCATACTCACACCTATGAATCATTGAGGTTCAAGCGCAGAAATGCCTGCAGCATCTTCCTGTTTAAATTTCACTTTGCAGAAGTATGGCTTTCGTTGATGTGTTTGGGCATATGCTTGACAACGGCATGTAGAAGTAAGTTTCAATTCGGTCACGCTTATGCGTCTCAGATGAGGCCAAGGAGAGCCAATCGCAGGGCTTGTCCGATGCTCACCCAGTGCCTGTGTAGCTCACAACAATCGTGGCATTATCCAGACGGCAGTGACTCAGGCTGCACGTAACCGTTCATGATTGGGAACCAGATCAGTGTGGAGTCCCAGAGCATGTTGCATACTGGGTTGGCACTACGCGAGGGCGTATGATTGCTTTGACAGCATGTGCTGCAGGCCGGGGCAGCTTTGCATTGAAAAGGCCTTCGCGTCCGAATACCGAGCGAGCGTTCTGTTCTGGTTGTTCTGGTGTCGAGTTCCGTCCCTGAAGGGCAGCCTCGTCAACATCTCCTACCGAGCCGCACATGGCTGGGTTTATGCAGGTGCGTGAATTCATCAGCTTTATCGGTTCTCAGGAGGGCCTCTCTCCGTTTCGCTCCAGTTGCAGGAACCGTTCGAACAGCACCCGAAGGTGACACATTGGAAAAAGGCCCAGAAGAGGGCTGGATTCCGCAGGCCAGTTTGCAGGATTGCAGCTCCTCTTGGCTCACCTCACACGTGCTCCACGCTCTTGGCGATTTGCAGAGGCCGTTGTTAAGCGGGTGACCATGTGCCGAGTGGCAGTGGATTGGCCAGCTGAAGGAGAAGCCATTTCTCCAGCACTTGAGTTTAAACTTCTTGTTCTTTTTTCTGGCTCTTCTTTTTGGGCACACTCATGTCGTGCACCGATCTGCCTGGTGCTGAGGCAACCTTGGGCGTCACGAAGGGAGAAATCCTTGCCGTCTCCAAGGAGGCCCGAAAAACCCGACGCCCCAAGATCTCCATCTGACATTGCCGCTGCCTGTTTGGCTGTGCAGGCTGAGAGAGGATGGGTCTACGGCGAGCCCCGAGCTGAGAACATGCGCTCCGGTTCACCGGTCCCGGTTAGCTGCCCTCAACTGCACCGGTCTCTTTCTCGCGTGGCATTCTTTGCCTGTCGTTCACTGGGTGAGACTCGTAAGAGCACAGTTGCTTCATGTTCGCCAGACAGCACAAGGGCCGTGGTAGATCGCCGAGTGATGCGTCTCAGACAAACTCCGGAATCCTACTTCGATGTCAGCCTTCAGATCGTGGACATTTCACATCCGATGCCAGGGGTACTGTAGCTCAACAGTGCTTCTCGAGCATGGCTTTGTCTTCGTTTTGAAGCACCGCTTCCAAAGCCGCACGGGCTTCTAGCATCTTCTAGCCTCGCGGAAAAGTTCCCGTGGCTTGCTTCAATCTGCAACAATGTCCAACGGCATGTTTCCTTGGCAAAAGGAGCCGCACTCGGTCAGCAAGGGGTAGAAACCTGAGCGTGTCAAAGCAATGCTAGAAATCTTCGCCGAAGTTGAACAGGTGAATCTCGAAAGGCAGGGATTCCAGCCTGCTTGTTTGCCAGAAGACAGATCGTTGCACAGATCAGTCTTGTGCCTTAGCACTTCCGAACCGAAGTTTCTCCACATCTCGTCCTGCAGAAGGCTGTTCTTCTTCGCATTTGCGTTGTCTCCGCTGCTTCGGTTCGGAATTCTGCTGGGCTTTGGAAGTGTGAAGTGCTCCATGCAGCAAGGCTAATCTCCGCTGACACCTGTGGGCGGTGCACGCGCCCTGACAACAAGCCTTCAGATGGCTGGCTGCCAAAGAAGGCCATGTTTCGTTGTCGTTGTAGCACGTCGGCTGAAAAAGAATGCCAGGTCCTGGACTATCTTCAGTCGTGACCTCCTGGCTGGTAACCCCACGGACTCGAATGACCATTCCATCTCACAGGAAAGCGTGAACTGGCTTCGCACAGTTTGGCCGCTTTCAGAAAGGGGCTGGGTTTATCATGCCACACAGGCTCCTTCGTTTCTTGTTGGAGGTACTTGTGATGCTGTACTTCGACGGATGCTAAGGAGGGGATCGGGCTAGACGATTGCTAACAAACAGTTGACGTCATGGTGTCAAGTGTTTCACAGCCGCTCACAGACTTTGGAGGATTGCCTGGCTCTGCTGCTCCGGCTGAGCTGAGCTAAAGCTTGCCTGCAATTGGCTTGGGGCAGAGAAGTGTGGGACGAAGATTCGTCTGCAGCTACGCCAAAACAAGAATGATGACAAAGACTGCCACAAAGCCAATTGAAGGCAAGGCAAACCGACGGCTGGCAAGGTCCAGCCCTGTTCAATCGTGTTAATATTGCATCGTGCAGGCGCTCTGCACACATCATTGCAAAGTTCAAGTAGATGTGAATGCATTTCCCCACGAGTAGAAGTCGCATTGCACTGATTTTGGCATGTACTTGCAGGTTGATGATCCTGTTGCACACCACTTCGCTTTTGCTTTGGAGTTTTCTGGCTTGCAGTCATGGCTCTGCAGTTTTTTTTGTTGCGCGCATTGCATCCAGTTGTGCAAACACGAGAGAAGGAACAGCTTAATCCGCAAGGTCAAGGAGCACTCCTCTTACAAACGGGGCAGTTCAATAGTTACATTTCGGACTGGCACAGACCCTTGCCCCCCGTGGCCAAAGCGGCCAGGCCAGGCTGTGCTGTTTCAGTGGTGACGCAGTTATGCATCCTATGCAAGTCTTCCTCATTTTGTGCGGAATGCGCCACGAGCACCTAAGATGTGTGCTTTTTTTTTTGCAGCAGTTTTGAGTTTACGAAGGTTTCAGCACTCACAGTGCAGGAGGTAGGCCAGGGATATGTCGAGGCGTTGGGTTTTTGGGTTTAGGATCTGGCGGGATTCAGGGTTTACCGGTTCGGGGGTTGAGGGCCACGCTTCAGGGTTTAGGGATGGTCAGGGATTCTGCGTTAAGGTTTCAGGAGAGCTGTATAGGGGACTAAGGCTGGGGAGTGTTCAGGGTTGAGGGTTTAGTGGGTCAGGGTTCTTGTATGAAATCGGAAACCCTCTTTCTCACCGGACGCTCAAGCCGGCTTGCGATTCAACTGAAACCTGTCGAGACCAATCGGTTCCACCATATCGGTCGAAACAGCTGGAACAGCTCATAAGGCACAGCAAATGGCAAGACTGCATGCAACGCGCCGTTGAGTGTTTTGCACCACTCGGCGTAGAGTATTCTTGAGCAAGCGGGTACTGTGCTTGTACACTTTATACATACATAGACACATACATACATACATACATACATACATACATACATTATATACACCAACGTCGCGACTCCAAGGTTCCGCCAGCATCATAGTCTTGAAGACGGAGATTGCCACATCGTAATCTGGATCAAATACCCTGGATGTTATCTTAATGGGAAGTTCTGTCGAAGTTTGGTTTAGGGCAGGTATCAAAGTAGGGGTCGTGACACCTACAATCCTACAGAGCCCGCACTTCCAGAGCAGCCGAGTTCACCGAAACTACAGCACACAACACACGGTGAGAGGTGAGGTAAACCTCACTTGTCGCCGTCACTCGTTGTCGTCACTTCAAGCCTGAGGCTTAAATTCATGTGTATCTACGCGTGAGACATGCTCACCCTTTGGTTGCTGCACCTGACAGCAGACACGCATGTGTACATGTTGTGACATACAGCTCGACGGCAAAGCATCAAGTAGCCAATACATAGATGCACATAGGATTCGAAGATGGGGTCTTGATCCGCTCACGGTGGCTCGCGCCAACCACCATGCATTTGCATAACAGCGCGAGCGCGATTTAGACATGATTCCACTTCAGTTTTTGACAGTTCTGGGTTCAGCGGGGTTTAGGGTATAGGGCCAGGTTAGGGTTCAAGTAGGTTTCGTGTTGAGCGGACTTAGATTTTGGTTAAAGATGGGGTTTGAGGGACTTTAGGTTTTTAGGGTTTGGGAATCCGGAAATTTGGTGTTTCAGGCTTGAGGGTCTTAGGGTCTAGGGGGGTTCGGGTTTAAAGTTGGGAGTTCAGAGTTTAGGGTTTCGGTTTCGTTTTGGTGGCTCAGGGTTGTTTAGGGTGTTCAGGGTTTAAGCCTAGGGTTCAGGGGTTTGGGGATGTTTATTAGGGTTCGGGGCTCAGGGTCTATTGTTCACTATTATTTTTCTAGCATTTTGGGGTTTTTAAGGCTTATGGTTTGGGGGGTTTATTATTTGGAGGCTTTTGGGGTGCGGTGGGTTTTCGCGTTTCAAGGTTTGGGTTGAAGGGGAGTTTTGGGGCTTGGTTTTCGGGCGGTCAGGGCTTTTAGGGCTTAGAGTTCAGGGTTTCGGGTTGATTATGAGAGATTTTCTTTTTGTTTTGGATAGCAGGGTTCACGGAGTTTCAGGTTCAGGTGTGTGTAGGGTTCACGTTTATTTGGATTTGGGGTTTAGGGAGGTTTAGGATTGTGTCGGGCACAGGACTTGGAGGCTGAGCAGGGTAGGTATTTTCCCATGAAGTCGGCCCGAAGCATCTTCTGGCTCATGTGTGCCGCCTTGCCTAAGGTCGTCCGAGAGCTTAGGAGGTTTGGTGCTTCCGCTCCTTGCACCCCTAGCCGGTTCGCCACAGCTGTCTTCTGCTTCTGCTCCTGCTGCATCGGTTGCTGTTGTTTTCTTTGCGGCTGCTCTGTCAGCGTCGGCCAGGAAAACCTGTGGCCCTGTGGTTAGGTGCTGCTCTGGAAGGCGAGACAGGTTGTGCGAGTACCGTGGTGAATCAACGGGGACCAGGACCACGTTGAAGAGCTACTCTTCGCTTCATCGCGCGGGCGTACAGTGGTCTGCTTGCCATGTTGTCCTGCGGTGCTTCACTGCGCAGCTTAGCGTCTCCCGGCGCCACGTGCCAAAGGATTCGAGTGGCCGGCTCGAGGCTGGCAGCATTTCCACGCTTTCCCTTCAAGGGCGGAGGGGTTGGCCTTCATCGCAGCGGCACAGGCGCAATGGCCGGCCGAACTGTGACCAGGACGATGTGACACAGATGGTCGAGAGCATGCTGCCCGAGTGCCCCCTGCCCTTGGTTTGCTTTGTCGACACATCCGACGACGGAGCGGCTTTATGGTGGCTATGCCTATCGACACTCGGGTGGCCGATCAGCTGCAGGTCCCCGACAACGGCTTCGAATGTTCCTGTCGTCCCGTTGCAGAGAAGGAGCCGGGCGACGATGGGCCTGCGGTGGTCTGGCCGAGTTCCTTATTGCAGAGAGCCAATGTCGATAAACCGCGATGAGTCCGCCCCGAGGTCGACGACCAGCCGCAAGCCGAGCTGGAATCTTTGCAGGTTCGTGCTGCTACCTGGCATATCAATCATCGTGGTGTTCGTGAGCTGTTTCCTCCTCCCTCGATGGGCTGGACTGCGGGCTTACCGACGAGGACGGGCGCGCGCCGAGCTGGGAGCTGCTGACCCGTCGCAGTTGGCTTCTGCGGCTATCGCTTACTTTCGCGAGATGGACTTCATCAGCGCCAAGATTGTCCTGCAAGGAGCCGGGAGAGGCAGCGAACAGCAGAAGGACAACGAGGAGACCGAGGAGAATCCGCCCCGCCGCAGAGGAAAGGGCAGCGAGGGCCAGACCGAGCTTGCGGATTGCGGCTCGGAGCAGCGGCTAATTCATGTCAAAATTTGGCTGACGCTAGTCATTAGGTCTTTTCGGTTCGTGCCTGCGCTGCGTTCTCGAAGGTTGCAGCTGCCGTGTCTCAGGATTCTGTGCCCTGGCCACTTCGCATAACGACCCTCCCTTTTGCCTGTGCGTCCCAAAAGGCCGCTGCGCCCGCAAATCGCGAAATCATCGACGATCCTGTAGGGCTGTGTTTCCCTCAAGGGCTGCCTGCCGACGGTTTGTTCCTTCGCCTCTACCAGTGAGCCGCCCGTTAGTTCGCGAGGCGACCCGTAGCCAGTGCCGGAAGAGGCGCCGCTGCGAGACGGTTGGCGTGGTTATTGATTGCTCCTCAGCTCCATGTTGGGCTCTGGCCGCCGGCCTGGCCTCGTTTTGCTTAGTCGCGTTTTCGCGGATGTTGCAAGGTGCCCTGCGACCCGCTGCTTTACACCGATCGAGCCCGTGTTCGGTGCCGAGCCGCCCGCTTTCCATGTGGACGTTTTCCGTCTTCCCTCTTCTGTGCAGCAGCGGGTTGTATCGAATTTGGACAGCAATTGTCCCATGGCTGGTTCTTGCTGTGTCTTGGACGCAGCCATCCATGTGCTCCCTCGTGGAGCTCCCCGTTCGCCCCCCGTGGTACGACTGCCAAACCGCGCGGGCCTGCTCCGGTAGTTTGAGAAGAGGCGTGCAGCCCAGTGCAGCCTTCAAGCGGAGGAGATCGCCCACGCCTGTTCTGATGGCCTGCCAGTGGGTGGAACAGCAGACACCGGATTTGCGATCGCTGAGTAGCAGGAGCATGCGTGGCCCTGCCATCTCGTGAAGAGTGTAGGTGTGCACTTTGTTGACGACTCCTGGCTGAAGAAGATCTCGAGTGTGCACTTTGCTGATACTGCTTGTGGCCCAGTATGAAACCTGGCAATTGTGCTGAGCCGCGGGATTTGCTTTTGAACCACATGACGCGAGTCGTCACGAGTCTGTACTGTGCAGTGCGATTTATGAATGCTTGTCCATGTAGCAGGCAATTTGTGCAATCGAACACAGTTGCCAGGAGTAAGACATTAGATCCCTTGTGCAGCCCGCGTGGTAGCAAGCATGATGTACCCCAACAACTTCGCTGGTCTACAGTGCAAGTAGCTGTGGATGCAGGAGTGCCATGTCAGCCGCATGGGGTGGGCTTGCTGGAGACGGTGGGGCAGGCACTGTAGAACAGTTGCAGGCTTGTCTTCAAACCCGGTGACCACTGCCTTCGAATTGGGTCTGCAGAGCCATGCTCGAGGAGCAGCCCGCTCCCGGCATACCTTGCGGTGCTTGGCTACAACAAGCGTGGATCCACGCAGAAGGCACGTTAGCGGCTGCCTTGCTGCCGAACGTGAAGCGGCTTTTTGCGGGTTCTGACACGACTCGCGTTGAAAGGCTTGGTGCGCAGTATGCTGGGAATGGAAGTTGCCCCCGTGGCCGTTAACGCCAGACGTGATCGAGAAAGTGTCAGCTGCGTTGAAGGCAGGTGGGTGCAAGTCAGTACGCCAGTTCTTTAGCAGGGTGCGGCGGGAGCACGTGTGGACGTTGGCGAAGTATGCCTTTGCGGACTTGACTAAAGCTGATTTTCAAGGATGCTCTGTCATGAAGTATTAATCGTCGCGAGGCCCATGAAGGTGAAGCCTGAGAGGCCGAGCGACGGCCCACAGGATGTACAAGGACAAAGGTGGACAAGGTTTTGGCACAAGCGCCAAGGAAGGCACTCGCAACTCTTGCGCATGCTGGACTGGGGACAGCGTCCCAGCCCAGCAGGAGGGTGGGCCCGGCCACATCGTTCGCCTGATACGCAACGAAGAGATGCTGTGCCGCGAGTCCGCGGAATTCGTGCACGTGGAAGTCGGTTTCGGTGATCCTTCGCGTTCGCCATGTGTCAGACCGGGTCTGATGACAAAGACAAGATCCTCCGTGCAGAGGATTGGCGCAGTTCAGCTCCCGATGACAATGCCATCGACCAGGTACTGCAGAGTTGCAGACTTGATGACATGGACGCTGCGATGTGTGCTCCTCTTCTGTCTCTCGGAACCTCCACTTTGCCGACGACCAGCCGTGCTTCAGGAAGTCAGCCCCGCGCCGAAAAACCTGCAGGCGACCGTGGCCATCCGTGACCATAACACAAGGGCACGTCGATCGCCTTGACAACCATCTGAGCACATCCTCCTTCCTCTGAACAAGCGCTTGGCTCCCGGAGGAGCGTCGTCGTTGGCTGGAAAGTTGCAGTTCGGCTAGGCACTGTTTGGTCAGGCGAGTACGGTGGCTTTGTCATCTACAAACCACCAGCACAGGGAGCTTGACCGGGCACTTCCGCAGATTGGCAGCTGACTGCAAGTATGCTTTGGAGTTCTTGCGCCGGCGATTACGTGATAGCAAGCCACGTGTGGCTCGCCATGAAGCTGTGAAGCATGACTTCCCCAATGGCAGGGGCTTTGTGGCCTGTGTGGGAGTGCGATCACACTTTGCTGCAGGGCGGCGTTTCTGTCGCCGGTCGCCCAGCAACTTTTATCACATGTTGGAGCGAACAGGACGCCGAACACGTTTTTGTGCTGCGTGCTTCAGAAAGTGCTGCTTGCAAGTGACTTGCGCGTTGTACTCGCCTGTTTGTTGCGCTGGCGGCTTCCTGTAGGCTGACTGTAGGGCTTGGGGGGTTCGGGGGTTTTTAGGCTTCAGGGGTTGAGGGGGCTTTAAGGTTTGAGACGCTTGCAGGATGCAGGCTTCAAGTTGTAAGATTCAGGGTTTGTGGGTTTACCGAGGGGGATGCTTTAGAGTTAGACGGGTTAATTACAGGGTTTATAGTTTAGGGGGGTTTTGGGGCACACGGTTAGGCGAGCTTCGGAGGGTTTGCCGGGGGGCGGCGGAAAGTTCAGTTTATGAGGCCCCCCCAGATGGCCCGTTCTTTCGGGATGGCTGCGTCGAACAAAAGAAAATAACATGCAAGCGGCGTCACCATAAAGGACACGAGTGACACCAAGAAAAAGACATTCGTCAGCCCTTTTCCGCACCCAAAGTACATTTTCAATATGTTCATTCGGCTGACATAAATGGATGCCGACTTCGGTTTACCCAAATGTTTCCGAAAGGGATAGGTCATGATAGATCCATGTTTGCGTTTCTCCATTCATGTGTGTCGCTTCTCATGCTTTTAAGTTCGAATCCCACAACTGCCCAGCGCATGTTGTTGATGGCGTGCAAATTCCGTAGACCGTTTGTGTGTGTATGTGTGTGTGTGTTATCGATGCGTCACACCAAATGCTGTTACTGCGTGGGGCCACACGTGACGAGGATGGGCAAGAAAGCTGCTGTGGAAGAGGACGAGAGGAAGCTCCGGATTGCCATCGTCAGCACGGACCGATGCAAACCCAAGAAGCACTTCCGGCTCACGTTGCGAGTTGCAGCGTGGCTCCTGGCGAGTTTTTTTGTGTCAGGTGTAAGCAGGAATGCAAAAAGTATTGCCCGGTGGTGCGGACAGGAAAGCTTTGTGTGGAGGCAATGTTAGCTGCGCGTCCACAACGTTTGCTGAAGTGTTATCAAGATGTGGAAGTGGTGCTGCAGGTCAGCAAGGATTCCAAAATCAGCTGGATTTCCGAATCGTTGTGCATCGGTTGGAACCTGAGGAATGTGTGCGGTTTTGTGGTACGTTGCATGCAACCAGGTCTTTTCGAATTTGTGCCGTCATCTCAGGTTGCGGTATATGTGTGAAGAAGTGCCCGTTCGAGGCAAGGTCGGCAACCCGATGCTACACTTGTGAGTACGTGCAGCGCAGCATGCGTCGTGCGGTCGCAAGCCGCAAAGCGATCCCTGATACAGAATTTGTTTTCGAGATGTCCTGTCTGCAGACCAAGCGATAGCAAGGCCACATGTAACATGTAATCAAGCTTTATGCATACTTGTATGAGCCTGTAAATAAGCCTGGTGGTGTTTGACCTGGTCGCAGGCTGCTAGGTCTCAAGACACGTCCACTTTCGGCAGAGTGTGAGCAGCTGCATGAGACTAGAGACACTTGGTTTCATTGGGAGGCCATCAATATCATCAACCTGCCGAAGGCGTTGTGTCCAGTTCATCAAAAGACTATAGCTAGTCGAAGCTGAGAGGTCTCCACCGTAGGAAATCTGGAAAGGATCTTTCAAGTCACACAACGCATCGATATGGCCGGTGGCTCAGAAAGGGCACCTCCGGGAGCCTGCAGGGCTAAACCTGCACTGAAAAGCGCTCGTTTGCAGACTGTGCTGCGCACCACGCGTTGGAATTAGCGACCTCAGTTTCGGAAGCTGAGATCCAAAAAATCTGGATTCGACCGTCTGGGATTCGGGCTCATTAACTGGGAGTATCATAAGTGCGAACTCTGGCACTCTGGCTGGCACTTTCAAGTTGAGTGACGTTTACCCAGCCCGTGCTGCCTTCCATGCAACAAGCGCTGCGGGGACCTGCCAGAGTATAGCGTCGACAGGAGCGAACAGCTTCAAGCTCCATCGTCTTCCGACACCACGCGCAGGAGCTCTCTGAAGTAGAGTTCTTGCGTCAGTGACGGCTTGACAGGACAGGTGTTGGGGCTTGTGGGAACAAACGGCATTGGCAAGTCCACGGCTCTGACAGCCAGTGCCTCGAAGTGTGCTTGGAAGCCGTTCAGAAAGAGATGCTGGACTGAACCCACCTTGGTAGTGTCTTTGAGCAGTTTCAGCAGGCCCTCAGGTGTGCCTAGCTGCGACTGGTAAGTTGTCGGCGCATCGGGATGTACTAAGCATGGGATCACATGACGCAGACAATCAATTTTGGATCTTTGGAACCGTCAGAGAAAGCCAAGCGCCGGACCGTGTGCAATGGATACCGACTTGCTGCAGTGCCCGCTATGGGTCTCTTTCGAAGACGACTCAGGCCGGCCAGGTCCAAGTCTTCTCTCTTCTTCGTGACGAGCTGCTGAAAGAGACGAAGGAGAGTTTTTTTGCATGTTGGCTTTTCGCTGAGGCAATTCCTACTTCTTCAATGTCCAGTCTGGGGAATGCCGTCCGCTTGATCCCGATCCCGATGGAGAACAGAGCGTTGCTCTCGAGAAGAGCAAAGAAGAAGGCCTTGACCAGCTCCAACCTCCTCTGCTGTATCTCAGTTTCAGTCAAGCACATGGTTGTGAGCATCCCCCACTTTCCCCAACCACATTGAGCACGCCTCAACTAGCAAATTTTAAATGAGTGCCGTCGGTTTCATGTTTCAGTGAAGCTTCCACGTGTGGGGTCATGCTTTATTGCTTGTACGGCGGGGGGTGGTGGTGCTGGTGGTGGTGGCCCTCGTCCTCCTCGTCGTCGCCATCGTCCTACTGTTGCAACAGTTTCTGCAGCAAAGATTGAGGTGGGTTCCAGACTTGGTTTTTGTCATTTATGATGTCTGCGTCACTTGCCCTCGTCAACTTTTGTCACTGGATTTGGTTGTCGTTATCGTTGTCTTTTTTTGGCAGTCTTGGCTGGCATTGGCTTGTCTTTGAGTAGCTTTTGTGTGGCTCCGTGCTGAGTAGATTGGTCCTCGATTTGGCACATCGATGCCGAAGCAACTTCATTGCGCGTGTCCTTACTGACTTCGCAATCAGACGGGCGGGCCCGATTCCTATCCGCCGCGATGGCATCCTGAGGTGAGGTGCGCATGGTGTGCAATGGCCCCTGGGAAGCTAAAATCTAACGGCCAGATCGACCAGTTATCTATCTGCCCAGGCTTTAAAATTAGGGTCGAATTGGTTGCGTCTGCAAAGGTCATAGCAGCATAGCATTGCACCTCCAGTTTACTCTCATGCACGTGCTTTGAAGGTAAAAAGATCGGTTGATTTCTTTACTTGTTCAAACGCACACACGCACACACGCTCGCAGCAATTGCTGGTGCTTTCAAAACCATGCTGCCCAGTACACTGGATCCTGTTACCCGCGTCTGCTCTTGCGGTGGGGAGCCATGCACCAAATCACGTCGTGAAAGGGGAGTTTCAATCTCACATCCAATCGTTAAAGTCCGCCTAACAGTTGGTTCGGTGTGGACGACCCACTCGAGCATCGACGAATGAACCAACGTTGTCTTTTTTACAGTCGTCGTCTTGGCTTGGGTTGGAGTTGTGATGGGGGTTGCTGCTCTTGTTGTTGTGGCCGCCACAGTTCACAGCATGCTGCGTAGTTCTTTGCGCAACGGCTTGAGTTTCACAACAGCCTTATCCGCGAATCGTAAAGGACGGCCTTTTGAGCCATTTCCTCTGCAACCTTGAATGAGCAGATTCTGTGAGCTACCGGGCCTCAATTCCCTCCTTACGACGGCAAACTTCGCACATACACGAGGTAGGCGGGAGGGTTTCCACCAGTCCCTGCGGTGGAAGGATGAGCACTGGGGGCACTCCCGGTGCGAAAATCCTAGCAGATGGCGAGCCGACAGTGTCTCTGTCTCACTTGTTATCTCCAACCTATGATTTTATGCTTGCAAGAGGACATGCCGCACAGCAGTGGTCAATGCTTGTGGTTCGGGCCTGCAGGCTTGGGCACCTGCCAGAAACGGGAAGTGTTCCCGAAGACAGCAAATATCCGAAATGGCCTTCGTCACTGTAGTGTTTCCTCCGAGCAATTAGACAGCATTTCACAGTGCAGGTGTTTTGACCAGGCCTCTCTCTTTCCTTGGTTTCGTCGACTTGCATACGCAATTCATTCTCTTTTTTGCGGGTGTCCGCACGAGGCCTCGATTTAGGGTTCGTATGGCACGTACCGAGGCCCGCAAGGAGCAAAGCCCGCTCGCTAAGGGTCAGTCGTCGTCGTCGTCGTCGTCGTCGTCGTCGTTGTTGTTGTTGTTAGCAACATAGTTCATGCGTTTTTCAGCCATGCTTTTTACCTTGATCAATCAGTCGGTTTCACTTGTGAGTGCTTAGTGCGGTAATTGCCCGCCAAGCATGGAGTCCGCTCGCGAAGCGTTCAATTGCAAATTGTTGTTGTTGTTGTATCAGAGCTACGATGATGCCGCCGACGAGGAGGAGTACTATGATGATGAGTCGCGTGAAGGGCGGGATCAACACTCGTCCAGCCACTGTTGACCTTGGCGATAAGGCACAGCCTACCATACACTGAGCACAGCCCGCATCGGTTTCTTCATTCATAGAGCGCAGTGTGCAGGGCTCACCAGCCATTATAACATTCTTCGAAGGGGTATTTTCAATTGTTCCGCTCTGTCAGCTGATGCATGCTGATGCCTCCTGAGAGTGTCATCTGTTAGCGCTTCTTTTGCAGGCAGCAAGACCATTCTTGCACGAGACTCGCAGCCTGAAGCAAAACAGCAGCAGCTCCGGATGACAGTTCCAGCTCAAACATGTTCTTTCAATAATGTTACACATCCAACTTCAGAATTGTAGGCTGTCCGCTTGCTTACAACTGATCGCGCATGCAATTCATTCAGGTACGCTGCTTATTCCCGTACGGCCATTCGCCATCGTCTGAGAGGGACCAAGTGTGGGACGCACTAGACTGGCACCCTGGGACCCGGCTCAGTTGAAACTACAGTCGCTGAGTACCACCCATCAGGCGATGGTTCGTCAGCATCGGACGCGTTGGCTCACACTGAGGGTGTCGGAGGTTGTCCATTCTGTGAGCGATTCGGCCTAGCAGCTTTTTGATAGCAGTCATGTTTTTTGTTATTTTCCTATGAGTACTGAACCAGTTTACCCACGTAGGCAAACGCCCGCCGCGCGCAGCAATTGAAAAATTGTTATTGTTGTTGATGTACTCCTGCCATGTTTGGACTTGGGCTTTTGGTTTGTAGAACGTATTCTTCGGCATCGTTGCGGGGCACCGTACCGCTCTCATAGGCTCTTGTGAATCATACGTTCTGCAACCAGGTTCCGCGCGTGTAGAGCTCCATCGCGATAAGCTCGAGAAGAGTGATGCTCTACGTAAGCTCGTAACAGCTAGTCATGTATTATTGTACTGGCAGGTTTTCTGACTTCACGGTGCGTGTGCCAATCTGGGAAGCAAGCATTGAAAGTCGAATCGTTCTGCTTTGCTTCGGCGATGGTTCTTTCATAGCTTTGAAAAAATTCAAACCGACCTATAGACATAAGGCCTCACACTGATATCCCCTGCAAAACGGGACGATTTTTCCACCGGTTTGCCATGATCCAAACGAACGTGGTGGGGTTTTCCCCCAAATTTCCGTGCTGCTCGGTTGTCCATGCCTGCGGTGCTTTTCTTGAGGGGCATGACTGACAATCGTCCGCGAAGTAGTGCTGTGGCTAGACCACAAAGCAGCAAATGTGCGAGAAACTCTCTCGAGGGATCAAGTACTTGATGCATTCGGGCATTTCGCTGTCGACGGACAGGTCTCTTGGAGGGTGAGAAAGCATCGGTGTGCAGCTGCTGCAAGCATCCGTTTGAAGCCGAGTCCAAAGAAGAAGAGCTGGAGCAGCACAAAAACAATTGGATGTCAACGCCAGCAAGAGTGCAAGTTCCATACAACCCAGAGCAACCTCAGTATGTTGAGGGCAACGAGGATTTCAACGTGTGGTACGGCAAGTATCTGTCAGATCGCCGGAATCCGCGTGACCGAGACAGAGTGCAGGCAGGACATCGATGTGATCCTGAGAAGGACTCCGGCTGGACACAGGCCGATCACCCTGGCTCCGGCAGTCCGGGTTTTTGTTTGTTCTATGCACGTGGCTGTTGCGGGTTTGGACACAAGTGTCGCTATTTCCACCACGTCCCCACTGTTCTCGACATGGCATCCTCTGACGAGGCACATGATATATTTGGCAGAGAACGGTATTCAACTCATCGTGATGACATGGGCGGTGTTGGTAGCTTCAACACCGAGTGTACAACTCTGTTCGTTGGTGACTTGATGTTTGACAGGGGTGCACCAGATGCAGTTGAAAGCGTGCAGAAGGAGCTGGAAAGCAGCTTCAGACAGTGGGGCGAAATAGAGGATGTGCGAATAGTCCCTTCCAAGGCGATCGCTTTTGTGAGGTACACATGGCGCTGCAATGCAGAGTTTGCCAAGGAAGCCATGTCTGGTCAAAGGTTGGGGTTGTCAAAGTGTATCGTGGTGAACTGGGCTCGTGATGATCCCCGGCCGGATGCCAAGAAGCGGCGCAAGACAGAACATGCAGAACAAGTCGAGGCGGCTCTGAAGAATCGAGCTGCCGCCCTTGGCTGGACGAAGCCAGAGATAGATGCCATCAGCACCAGGGGAAAGCCTGACTTCATCGGTCCAGTCGGGCCGTACCCTGACACGAGCCCTCAGTTCAACCAATCGCAGGGAGCTGTGATGGATGCATCGGATGCGCCTCATGGACCTGGAGCTGACCCTGTCCAGAGCCAGACGGACATGGCCCAGCAGGAAGCAGAAACAAACATGCGCAGATTGGAGAGCGCCCTTCTGCGTCTGCACCCCATTCCTTGATGTGTGATCAGCGCACCTGGCACCTTCAGCGTTTCACATCTTGGTATGTGCCGGACCACGTGCAAAGAAAAAAAAGTGATTGCGGGAGACAGCCCAGGCTTCCATGTCTGGAAAGTACGCTGAGAGAACGAGGTGCTAGCTGGGAAGTTGAAGCCGAACCTGGGCCGATTTGACAATCCTCCAGATTGGCAAGCGTGAGCCTCAGCATTGGATTACAGCATTACAGGGTGCGATTTTCAGGCAGGTCTGTCAGTGTGCATGTTGATGAAGTTTGTTCCACCGCTCGTCAGGAAATCATCCAGCACTTCAGAGGAAGCGAGCTGCAGACGTGCGCTGATGTACGAAAGTTGACGGTCTGGCTATGCAGTGACTGTGGTGTACCCTTGTGCTTCTCCCTCTCCAATGGTAGTCACTGTTTCGCACTCCATCTGTCAAGGACTTGTTAACAGGCTAGCATAGAGGCCACCCAAGGAACCTGAGCGGCAGTCCGTCGATTTAGGGCCTGTTGTGGGGTCGCTTCTCTCCGTTTGTCTCTTTTCGCAAAGCCTTTGCAGCCGTTGGTTTCCACCTCTTGACTTGTCTGGGAGCGGCCTCTGCTACCCCTGAGTTTTTTTGAGCGGCTGCCATCCGGTCGGCTTGACTCCAGTCTCAGACATGTCAAGTCGAGACCTCGATACAGCTGATCTTGAGCGGGGCTCTCGCCCAATCGTGGGGGAACATGTGTGTAGCGACGTGCATTACTGTTCGTTTGCGCAAATGAGGATGTCACACCGGTTCTAGATTTGTAAGCACATTTCCATTTCATGGATAAAGTCGAGACGCTTGAAGTTGCGGTTGTGATTCGTGGCAGGCTGATCGAGCTGCCCTTCAGGGCTGTTGCTGTTTATCGAGGTACATTAAGGGCCTCCTTGAAGATCGTCTGAAGGCGATGATCAAGCCCCAGTGCCCCGCATTGATCTCTATTTCCCGGTAAGTCACTTGATTGTAATGCTTAGTACCAGCAGCTTTTGCAGGTACGTCGACAAGATTTCAAAGCAGATCGCCGGCACGGTCTCAGACATTCTGGGCAAGAAGGATGAAAAGAAGTCTCAGGACGAAAAACTCCCACAGTATGCTTTTGCTGTGAGACTTTGTGGCCTTGTCTTGCGGGGGTCCTTGACGAAGTTCAAGAAAACCGGGGCCTGGAGCCCCGCAACGAGCTGAATTAAGCTGGGCATTTTTGGGTAAGCACGTGCGCACGCCCGACTCCGCATGCCGTGCCTCAAACTGTGACACATCATCCTTTCGCACGTTTGCGGAGTCCAGAAACTAGGGCCCAAGTCAGACACACGGAGTGGAACACCAAATGCGCCTCCCAGGGTTGTGGCGGGCAAGGACCTGAAATATTCAAAATCTGGCAAAGTCCCGGCTCGATACAGCGCCAACCAAAAGACTGAGCTCAAGCTTGGGCGATGGCTTATTGAATGATCCGGGTCGAAGATCGTTCTTCCGGGCTGTGGGAAAAAGGGCAGAGCAGCATGAGCGTGCACCAGGTATCACCTGAAAGCTTCACCTCCAGGCGAAAATGCCACAGAAGAAGTTTAAGGATATGATTAACAACGAAGCCAGATGCTAATTACTCTGCGTCTGTTTCATCGGCGTCTTGAAAGTCTGGATCGATTTCTTTTGGCAGTTGAAAGGGCTGGCATTGCTTCGCGAGCTGCAAAGTGCATGCCAGGAGAAGTTTTGTCAAGAGCTCGAGCTCATGCACTTGCAGGCGCATTCTGGCTGTGATTGCCTCGTACTTGCTGGCATGTGAAATCTGCATGCTTGTTTATGTTGCACGTTCTGAAGCTGCGGTGCCAGTGGGACCAATGTACTATGTGCCTGATGGACCATGGAACCTTTGTGCTCCTTTCTGCCCGACTGTCAGACGCATGCGCATGCTTAGAGAGTTATGCCTACACGGTTGCAGACCTAGACACAGGAGAAGCAGCAACAGCGAACTGAGGGTGGTTGAAACATGCAAGAGGAGTGTTCTCATTGTTTGCACCCTGGATTTACCGCGCCCGGTTTCACAATATTGCATGCAAATTGATTCAAATCAAGGCATACGGCATAAAGGACAGATGCAGTCACTTTGAAGTTTTACATGTTCCTAAGCTGGCAGCAGTGCCGCACAGTGCCGCTTTTAGGCTTGCCACGTTTGTGAGTTTTTCAATGCATTGTGCAAAATCTAAGCTGGTTTGATTCCCCACTTAACTTTAATGTGTAGCTGTGTCGGCTGCAATCGTCGGCGATACATTGCTTTGGCCATGCCCCGTACATTGAGTCTGAATTCTGTCGCTGTCTTGTTGTTGTGATTTGTTGTGTCTCCTCGTCGGATGCGGCGTTGTGTGATGGGCCCCGGACAGCTTCCGAATCATGTCGGCGACCCCCAATTCCCTGACGCTGCTTTCAGCGCAACCAGCTTCGTTGCACAGTGTGACAGACGTAAGATAGTTTTCTCTAACTCGAAACAATTTAGGCACTTCCGCTCGCTTTCCCACTCGCAGGAACGCGAGATCAAAGACCTTTCCGGTGGAGAACTTCAGCGGTTTGCCATCGCAGGCGGGACAGACGGGGTGATTGTTTGCATTTATTCAGTTCGTTTTGTTCCGACAGCCCACAAAAGCTCTCGCCAGTTCTATGTGTGCAAGATGCGCAAGTGTACATGTTCGATGAGTGCACTCCTCAGTCTTTATTGGGTTGCTGCAGTCTGCATGTCGTTTTTCCCTGCACTTCATCTTTTTGTCGAGGCCGTCTTCATATCTGGATGTCCGGCAACGCATTGCTGCGGCACAGGTGCCGCTCATCGGGCATGCACTTGACCTCGGGGATGTGTAAGCTCTAGTGTCGACAGAAAGAACCGCCAGTGGTGCTGCCTGTTTGGTACCCCTGGCTCGATGCTTCAGCTCTTTGTCGGCGACCTTGCCTTTCTTCCGGTGATGGTGCTGCTCGATTCAAGAGTGCCTTACAGGGCAACCCCTCGGGCGCTTCGTGACGGCCGGTCGGGTGCCTGCTTTGGCCTCAACTCGGCCTCGAGAAACTTCGCGAGGCCAACTACGTTTCCCAAAGCAATGGTGCCGGGAAGTCCTATACTAACGTGCACCTACGGATGGAATGTGGGCAAGTGGCTGATGCGGGTTACCGCTGAGGCCAGGTGGTTCTGTGCACCTACAGCCATTTCACTTGAATCGTGGACTGCTGTGTCCTGCATCCTTGCCACTCGTTCGGGAATGCATGTCTTGCCATGCCTTACACGAGTGGAATCAAAGGCATTGGCTGGATCAGACTGTTTGCTGCCTGCTTGAAATGGTGTGTTGAAGTTTTTGAAGTAGCACTGCCGCTGACAGCTCCGGCAAGCGTAGCGCGAACTATCACAGTTGGTGTTCCCGGTTCGGTTGGGGCAGGCAGCAACACCGGCCCTCTCTCCAGACCAGACATTTTCGTGCTTGTATATGCCCCATATGTAGTCAGCCAGGCTTGTGCCAGGGTAGGTGTGTAGTGCCTAGCGGCTGTTGTTGGCTTGCAGTCTGTGCAGCATTACATTTCAATCTCTTCCCGCCCACCCGCTCTGGTTGAGAGCAGCTGGGGGATGAAGGGGTGTTGGCTCTGGATCTGACTGCGCACCCCACGTTTGAGCAAAGCTTCGGCGCGCTCATGTCCTGAGTAGGTCGGTTGGTGTAGAGGCGAGTCTTCCTCCGTGAGGGAGGGTTTAACAACGCTGTAACGTTGTCCACAAGACTGAGGACCTCACCCTCGCGCCCTCGCGAGCGAATGAACAAAAAGGACGCAATTTCGGCGTTTCTCGCGTGCTCGTCGGAGTGTTGGACGAGAGCCCGTACCCCGGCCACGTCATCATGGACGTGGTCCACACTGCGGCGGAGGATCCCCTGATCTCCTCTACATCCTGGTTTTCGGAGGCGGTGCTTGTGGGGCTGGGTGCATCTGGGCGCACCGGCGGGTGCTGAGCTGCTTGCTGGATGGCACAGAATTCCTTGCTACCAAACGACGACAAGAGTTTGTGCTCGTCCCTTTTGACGGCCACGGTAAGAACAGTGTGTCTGGTCTGTCGGAGCAACCGTGCTGTACATCGCTATACATCGTTGGCTTTTGAACTTTTTGACGCACTCTCACCACCATGAATTCGCGGTGGTCGAGCCTCAGCCGGCCGGTGCTGCGAACGTGCTTGCCGAACGGCGCAGCAGCGCTTCCCACGAAAGGACGTCACGAGATCGTGCTCGTCAGCAGCAGAGACGTTAGCTTGCATTCAGCTTAAGCAGTCCGTGCACCATGGCTTAGACACTGCTACAGTGCCCTGATTCATTGTGAAAAGTTCTGCAGTAGGAAGCATCATGAATGGCGCCGACAAGCCGTAAAAACATATTCAGGGATGCACAACTCATTCATCTTGTGAAGGTCATCCGAAGCCTGCAGACGGTGGACAACTACATTATTGTGGTGGAGTCTGCTCCCCAGAAGATGTTTGCAGCCGCGCACATGTTCTTTGTCCTTTGCTTTTCCAGCTGTGCCGCTTTGCAGGCACGACCTAGCCGTCTTAGATTACCTCTCCGACTTCATCTGCTGCCTGCCACGCTTGCATGCATTGATCACGATAATGTTGTCTTTGCTGCCGCTTTGCTGCGCCCTTCAGGTGGGGTTCTGCTGGGGCCTACGGAGTCGTTACCATGCCCTTCAGCGTTCGCGAAGGCCTAGTTGCGCGATGGATCCCGTGTAAGTCTGATAGACCAGGACAAGGGCTGTTTTGCTTTTGCGCAGGCATCAACGTCTTCCTCGATGGCTTCATTCCGACGGACTCCTCTTCGAGTCGAAACGTAACCTACACATTTGCCATCATGCATGCACGGGGCTCGTAAATCAAGCAGGCTTACAAGATCCCGAGTCTAATAGACGCGAGGCCAGACCCAGGATTTCACTGGTTCGTGGACAGGGAGGGCCAGTTCCGTCATGTGCGCTAGTTGAAAGCCTCGCCAGTACCTCTGATCGCGGCGGGTAGAGCGTTGAGTCTTCGTGGACATCGGCATTCTCGCCAATGCAATCTGTGCATTCTTGTCGGAGACGGACATGAGCTGAAACAAGTGAGTCCAGACAAGTGACAAGTCGCAACATTAGACATCAGTTTTGCGGGTGCGCTGATCAACGGCTGAAGCCTGCAGGTGTGCAGTTGCACAGTTTGCCGGAATAGCATGACTGAGCCGTGATTAACAGTGAAAACTCGAGAAGGGCGAATTGTGCAGGCCACATACTTAGACACAGCAGTTTCTTCCAGCGGCGAGCTTGGAGTCAACTTGGAGTCTCTGAATGGGTCGCAGGAGAACCTGAGATTTCGAGAGGCACGACAGCTTTTGCTTCGACTTCGCAAAGAAAGCCGTACCACGTGACCACGTGCAGGTTTCCCTGACGTTTAAAGTCAGCGAAGACCTGGATCCTTCAAAGCTGGATCGCATGCACAACACGGAGTGCTCCGTTCACCTTGAGCATTCCATGAAGAGGAGATTCAGTGCACATTGTGTAAGGTACCCAGACATGACCAAGTTGATGGGCGACTTCAGACTAGACATCAAGGCATGTCGCTTGCCCAAGTTGCTTCGACTACTAGTACCCCTGGCGTTATTGATGTACTGACCGGCAGCCCTAGCTTAAAGATGTAACCGGCTGCACGACTGTGCATCTTTGCTGTTGAGGTTGGCAGACCGCACAGAAATTCGGCACTTCGACATGTGTGCCTGGTGGACTCATGTAGAAAGAATCGATGTCGAAGACTGCGGAAAGCGGAGAAACGAAACTGGTCTCACAGACATCAGACGCAGAAAGAAGCCCCGGAGCGTCGCAGGATGGAGGAGCCGAGAGTCCAGAAGGCTCCAAGAGCAGAGAACTGTCGCATCCAGGCATCGTCAAAGCTTCAAGAGGCCCTAGCGGATTTCTCTCAGAGCTTCAAGAGCAAATCTTGTCCCCAATAAGGCTCAATAAGGACAACCGTGTCGGTTCAACGGTTCCACAGTTCCAGGGCGCTCAAGGCCCACGGCACCTGAAAGAGTTGCGCAGTGCAAAATGCGCGTACTCGATATCGGTACATCTGCTCTCACTCACTAGGGCTCACCAATGGTTCGATTTGTATTTGCATTTCCCGCTCGGAACCCCAACGGCGCCCTCGCGAGGGTTCATGATTTATCCCTTGCAGCCGCCTCGGGAACGACTCCGGCAGGATAGAGGTGGAGGCCGGGGGTTCTTGGGAGGGAAAGCTTGTGGGACCCAAACCCGAACTTCTAGAAGGACGCGCGACAGAACAGTGAAACGACCCTCGGCGGATTTGGTCACATCTCAAGGTACCTCAAGATCTTATTCAAACCATTAAGCCTCCTACATTTCCCGTTCTGACTGAAGCTGCCTCCGGTGGACAGATGCAGAGCCCAAATTCTTCCACAGACGCTGCGCCACTGAAGTCGTCGTCAATGATGATCTGATTTCAGGGTGCCTTGGACTCCCTGAGACGCACCCACATCGCCACAGGCTGTCGCCACGGGCAAGTCCTTTGAAACAGGTGGGGGACTCGTTGCGCTTGGCACCCTCCTGTCTCCCATACAGAACCCCCTCAATGGTTCGCTACGGTGCGGTGATGTGCGCAAGTGCTTGACACAACCCCGGCGATCGCATCTGAACAAACAACATTCATCTGAAGCACCTCGTGTTATGGTCCGTGCGGCTCGGTGGAGAATCTGGGCATGTCAGTTTTGTCACAAAGGGCGGGTGATGTCGGACGCGATCGGTCGAGCCCGAGCGAGCTTAATAATTATGCATATTATGCTACGGTTAGGGTTGCATCAACGATGCGGTGTGGAGATTTTGGTAAATTTGCTGCTTTCCATTTGGCACGCTGCCCAAACGATACTGTTAATGATACTGCTGGAACATCCACGAGGCCAACGATGGGTCGCAGGTTCGTGGGGAATTATGCGAGAGTTCCAGTAAAGACGGGTCGATCACGGGCCGGGCGGTCGGGCCAAACATGAAACCAGATGCATGTCGCAGCGGCGGAGTGGAGTATTGACAATGATGACACGCTCGGTCAGTCAGTCATGTTGCAGCGCCGGAGTGGGTCATTCCGTGACATCCGTGACCAGGCAGGAAACTTTGCGTCTTCAGAGATACTCGTCCTATTGGGCCAGAATGGCTGTGGGAAGGATCGGCCACGTGGGATGCTGGAGCGATGCAGTTGTTTGAGCTGTTCCCGCCTGCAGACCACTTTCATCCGAATGCTGGCGGGGTTGTTGAATCCGGATGACATCAAAGAAGGCAGCTTGTTTAACGCTTCCTTGCGGCCGATGGCTTGATGCTTGCGGACTCTCATCGTATTGTCCTGAAGGTGAGGAGATACCGAAGCTTAATGCCAGGACTTCAGTTTCAACAAGAGCCTTGTAGACTGGTTGAGCCTTTTCGTGTCTTGCTGTCCGTCTCCTGTGTGCGAGTGTCTCTGAATGAAGGTCTCCTACAAACCACAAACGATCAGTGCAAAGTTCGAAGGCACTGTGAAGGACGCGTGATTGTGCAAGCATTCAATGGATGGTCTAGCCACAGACAGCCGATTTCAGGACCTTTTCCTCATGAAGATTCGGGATGCGTTTTTGCCTCTGTTCTTGAAAAGGTATCCCGGCAGTCAGTTCTTAGAACTCAGCACTTTGGTTGTTCATTCGAGGTTCATGCATCCGCAATTCCAGACGGATGTCACGAAGCCAATGCTCATTGACCAGATCGCCGACCACGAGGCTAGGTTGGCTGTACGTTGTCAGCGCGGTCAGTGCGACAGCCCAACTGGGTTGTGAGCAGCATTCTTGCTTTGGCAGGTGCAGACTCTCAGCGGCGGCGAGCTACAACGAGCGTGTACCCTACAGCCTTGCATGAGAGCATGTGGCATATGTGGCGAGAGTCAGGCTGTGCTTGAAATTCGCTCAACAGGTCGCACTTGTACTGTCTCTCGGCAAGCCGGTCGCCGTCTTAAAGAATTGTTTATGCTTTTTCAGTTCCTTGAGGGTCGGAGTTTTCTCTTTTCCTGACGATGGTTTTCCTAGAAATGCAGACAGCCGACTCCCGATGTGACCGTTGAATCATGGTGCGATGCTACGCACTTTTGCGTGTCGCCCGGTCTTGAACCGACATCCGAAACTCCGGACAGAGCGTCGCCGATGCCCTGAAGCAAAGATCGGCATTCGCATTTCTCTCGGAAACATGCGCTTGGCTGCGCATCATTCTCGTCGGCCGCGCGTCGCGTGGGATTTGTCATTCTCCATTTGTTCTGGTGGAGTTTCCCTTTTTGTTGCACTTTGGAATTTTGTGGCTTGCTGCTTGCCGTTAATGTGTGCCAGGTTTCACCCTTTTCAGAGCGCAGTGGTCGCATCCAGCTGCGAGCGAGAGCTCATCAGTCATTGAGGCTCCAGAGCCCGAAAGTCCTGAAACGACAAGAATCAAAAAGCCAGCGATTCTGAAACCCCCGCACATCGCGAAGACTCGAACGCAAACCATCGGATTCGGCCGTTTGGCAGACCCTCATAGCAGCATATCATAGCAGGGTACCGAATCGCTGTTGGAGGGCTTCTAGGGCTTGAGGGTTCAATGAAAGCAAATAGGGCAGACGCAAGTTAGTTTAGACATAGAAAACAAACTTTTTATAGGGCTTGTTTAGTTTAGACACACAAAAACAAACCTTCGGAGTCCCGGGTAGGTGCAGGTTCGTTTAGACATAGAAAACAAACCTGTTGTAGGGTTTATTTAGTTAGGCACAGAAAAACAAACCTTCGGAGTCCCGGGTAGGCGCAAGTTAGCTTAAACGCAAAAAAAACAAACCTTCGAGTCCAGTTAGTTTAGATATAGAAAACAAACCTTTTATAGGGGTTATTTAGTTTAGACACACAAAAACAAACTTTCGGAGTCCCGGGTAGGAGTATTCGATTTCTTTCTTCGTTTTTAACCCCCCTAAAGCGATTTCGTGTGGCGTCTACCTTCGTCTTGGAGAAGATGTTTTGGTTTATTTTTCGGTTATGCAGTCTTTAACTTTTTTTTGGCCTTTAAACACACCTGAAATGATTTTGTGTGGCTTCTGCCTTCGTGTTGCAGAAGATGTTTATGGTTTATTGTTCGGTGACGCAGTCTTTAACTTCTTTTCTTGGCTTTCAACCCCTCTGAAACGATTTCGTGTGGCTTCTTCGTTCGTGTTGGAGAAGATTTTTTGTTTATTTTTCGGTTATACAGTGTTCAATTTATTTCTTCGCATTTAACCTCCTAAAGCGATTTCGTCTGGTTGTATCCTTCGTGTTGGAGATGACGTGTTTTGTTTAGCTTTGGTTATACAGCATTTTCTTTCTTTCCCTAGCGTTCAACCCCTATCCTTCCCAGACTTTGGTTTTCGTAAGAAAAAAACCGTCACTCCCCTCAGAGTTGTTTTCCGTAGGAAAAACAAACCCCTCCCCCCAGAGTTTGTTTTCGTAGGAGAAAGAAACAAACCTCCCTACACCCCCCGACGCCCAAGCCACTCCCCGTGGCGTCACTGAGACAAACAAACTTCTACCATCGGACTTTGTTTTTTTCACCGCTGAAACAAACTCACATGGTCGGAGTTTGTTTGTGCCACCCGAAACAACTCGTCGGGCCAGAGTTTCGGAGTTAGTTTGTTTTCCCCTCCCCGCCAAACCTTGCTCTTCAAGACCAAAACAAAGATGACCGCAAACGTTTGCCGTTTTGTGGAGAAACAAAGTCTGCCCAGGCGAGTTAGCTTTTACTCGAAGAAACAAACCTCGGCCAAGCGAGTTAGTTAGTTTCCCCCCCCACCCCCCTCCCTCTGGAGAAGTAGACTCTACCAAAGCAAATTGGATAGTTTGTTTCAATAAAGCAAACCCTGGCCTGGCGAGTTAGCTAGTTACGGTTTAAACTCTGGAAATAAACTTCTAGGTAAAGCTTCAATCTCTTAGAATAAACTAACTAGCCTCCGCCACTTGTCAAGGAAAGCTTCTGGGAGTTAACGGTCAACTCCCCAGGCTTTGAGTTTTTTTCGAGGTTCACGGTTGGCCGTCCCCGTAAGTGTTTGAACTCGTTCTTGGGCTTGCCACCCCGCTCATTTTGCGGCGAAAAGGTTTGCCATGTGCAGTGTTTTTGGGGTTAGGTGGTTTCCGCCAACATTGTGCCGATGCTCCAGTATTTTCAGGGTTTGGGTTTGCCAACCCATTACCACTTGAAGGTGTAATGTGCCCGCAGTTCAGGGCTCGCCCGGCTCATGTTCACACTCTACGGGTTTGGGTTTCGCACTTTGCGTTTACGGCTTGCTGCTCACCGCACCTCTAGGGTTTAAGGTTTGCCACGTTCAGTTCTGTTAGCTTCTGGTTTGCGTTTCGGGTTTGCGTTTGTTTTGCGGTTTTGGGTTTACGGCCTGCCACTCACCACACTCTTAGGATTTAGGGTTTGCTACATCCCACTTTTGCTTTGCAAATAGGATTCAGTTGATGGGTTGCCGCTCACTACACTCTTACAGGTTTGGGCTTGTCACTCGCCGTTATTGCCAGGTTGGGGCGGGGCTTGCCGCTTTTTGGAGTTTACGCTTGACAGTTTCAGTGTATGCTCGCATTTAGGGGCAGGGTTTCCCAATTTGCACTGATTCAGGTTTCGCCTTATGTGGAGTTTTCGGCTTGGCAGTTTGGGTTGTTTTTGCCACTTTAGAAGTCTTTGTGGGGTTTTGCAAGTTACAATTTGGGTTTACAGCGTGTCATACGCCAAACTTTAGGGTTTAAGAGTTTGCTGCCCACCCCTGTTAGGTGTAAATACAGATGTTTTCCGCTTCGGTTTAGGGACTGCCCCCCTTCTGTTAGGTTCAGGTGTAGACAATATTTGAACTGGTGCTGTCCGTTGCGTTTAAGGATTTCCACTTACCCCGGTTTTTCAGGTATAGGGCTTGCCACTTCCTACTTGTGTTAATAAACCAGCCGACACAGCCCTAGCGCATAGAGCGGCCTTAGCAGAAACCGCCTACAAAAAACTGCGATTGGTATGGAATAGTAGCCTTAGTCGAACCAAAAAAGTGCGACTGTTCCTTTCTACCATACGCCGGTACTTATGTATTCTCTTGAGGCCCTTACGCTAACCGATAAGGTGCTCCATAAAATAGACGCAGTCTTCTATAGACTGCTGCGAAGATGCACAGGTATTAAAGCTTCCTTTTATTCTAGAATCTCCAATCAAGATGTTTGGAAACAGGGAGGCGAGCCCACACCGCCTTCCAAACTTCTTAACTCGAAGCAGAAAGACTTGCTGGGGTCTGTTTTCTTAGCCAACACAAAAGATCCAGTTCACAGTATAATGTTCTGTTCAGCTTACAAGGATCGAATATTGACACAGGGCAAACGCAAAGGGAGGAAATGCCCCTACTGGCTAGAAGTGGTTACTTCAAGACACTATCCTCAAATTTGGCAGGACCCCAACGCCCTTTTCGGAGCTAACTTTAAGTATGTCACTCTTTTAAGACTGCGACGGGGAGCTTCAGAGAAGGCGCCAAAGCGCGCGCAGAGTTCGTGCACACGGCCATAGCAAATGCTCAAGTATGAACTTTTTGGGGTTTCCTCTTCACAGTTCGGGTATACGGCTTGCCACTCAGTTAGTTTTGGTGTTTTCGTCGTGCCGATTCAGTTTGCAGCTTGCCGCTCACCACACTTTTTCAGGTTTAGGGTTTGCCGCTCGAAACACTTGAGGTTTTTGGGTTTTCAGATTCTCAGTTTGGGCTTACGCTATAGGTTTTTAGGATACATCACTTCTTACTTTGTTCGTCTCAGGTTTCGACTTCGTTTTTCGGCTTCATGGTTTAGATGTAGGGCTCGCACCTCATCGCACTTTTAATTTCAGGCTATCGGGATTGCAACGTGCCAGTTCAGATTCTGTACGGGTTTCCGCTGCACAGGTTTACATTCACGTTTGGGGTTAAGGTTTTGAAACTTTCCACTGTGGTTAGGTTCAAATTCAGAGTTTTGTAGTGCTTTCCGTTGAGGGTTTGCAAGTTCTACTTTGCTGAGTTTAAGGTTTGTAGTTTCTTTTTGGGTTTTCAGCTTCGCAATTTGGGTTTACAGTTTTTTAGCTTTAGGCCCCCCACTTCTAGGGTTGGATTTTTAATGCCAGTTCTCATTTCTGCTAGTTTTACTTTGCCAGCCTGCCGCACACCACACTTTGAGGGTTTAGGGTTTGCCACTTCCCAGTTTGTTTAGCCCAGGATTGAACTTTTTTGGTGCTTGCCCCTTCACAGTTTGGGTTTACAGGGCTTGCCGCTCACCACACACTGCTGTTAGGTTCAGGTTTGCTCATTCTTTGTTTGTGCCGGGAAGTTAGAGCAATTGTTTGATGGAGCCATCTTGGTAATCATGGCAATCTTGGTCAGGGGGGAGCAAGATTGCCAAGCAATCTTCGTCATCTCGCCCTACCTGCCCCATTTGCTCGCCGACTGGTTAGACCAAGACTGCAAGATTGTTGGCAATCTTGCACACCCCCCCTGCCCCACTTGCCTCACTTTCTGGCCGACTAGTGTACCTTTTGGAGACCAACATAGCAACATTGCTTGGCAATCTTGCTCCCACCCCTCGCAATCTTGGTTTAAAGGGCAAACTAGTCGGGGATACCAAGATTGCAAGATTGCTTGGCACTCTAGCTCAAATAATTGTTCTACAGTCCCGGCACAATGCATTGTTTGTTTTTGCACAGTTTGGGTTTCCGGCTTGGTTCAAACGTAGACTTTTGTTTTCTGCTCCACAGTAGGTTTGTTGACACTTTTTTGATGCTTGCCGCTTCACAAAATTGAGTTTCGGGCTTGCCCATTGCTTCGGGTTTAGGGTTTGCTAGCGCGCGCTTCTGTTAGATTCAGGTTTGGACATTTTTGGGTTTATTGTGCTTCGCAGTTTGGTTTGCCTCTTTCCACTCGCCACACTTTACGGGGTTGAGGTTTGTTACTTTCCACTCTTGTT